TACTAATTTTATCTAGCGTTAGGCCAACGCCGTTTTAACGGAAAATTATGATATTTAGAAGGACAAACGAGATGTCGAAAAAAAAAAAAGAGAAACGAGATTAATAAGTTCGATTTTCGAGTTTGAGATTAAATCAACTAAGATTAATTAGATGCACGTTATTATAACAATGTCTTTTCTCTGAGCCATATATATACAGGACCATAAGCACAATGTCTTTAGATCCAAAACTTTATCCATTTATCGATAAACAATAATAATGATTTTTAAAGGTGAGTAGGATTTATTGGACATTTATAAAATGTACAAAATAAAAACAAGAATATGTACTTATGTGAGGAAAATGACTAACTAATTTTGAAATTTCCCAATAAAATGTAAGAATCGAAGTCACGCTAATTCGAGTTTTGAAATTGTTATTAAAAGTTTGATATACCAAAAAGGCTCTTCTTACGAATGCGAACGCTAATATTCCTGTGGATATAAAGTATAATCTCCTGAGCATAAAAGAAACAAAAATATCATCTTATGGGCTGAATTACACATTCTTATCTACTAAAATTAATAACATGACATAAAAAAATTTAAGCAAAGCATCCAAACGGAATATTAGATTTCTGCGATTGAAAAGAACAAGAAGACTTGAGAAAGAGATGAAGATGCCACTCGTGATGCTAACGATCTTCTCCATTTAGCTTTACAAAAAGATGTGTCTCTTTCTAGCACTTTGTTCTTCGTTAGGTTCATGCGTTTGCCTACAATTGTGATGGAATCTACAATGGTCCATATACAAATTTAAATCATATACTAATACATATCAATTTCACCGATATTATTTTAGGATAAAACGCAATTTTGGACATGGAGTACACGTATATTTACTTTTTTTAACTTCGAAGATGCCGTTATCCCAATGTCGAACGAAACGAAAAATATATCGAATCTGATATATCGATATAAAATGTTTAAACTCAACACTTTTTTTCATCATTGCATTTGTTATTGTATCATATTTTCTTTACGAGAGCGTTTCGGTATAGAATTCTTTTGAAATAATATACATTATGTATAGTGAAACTATACAAAAATATTCATTTCACGCGATGACTAACTAAAGTTCTATTGATTATCGGAAAACGATTTTGATGTCATTTTTTTTCTCGAAAAACGCTTAAAACATAGGTAAACATGCAAAATTTATAAACCGTTTAGACCCATCTAAAACATTTTCTAAACGTGTGTTTACGCCTAACGCTTTCTTGAACGGTGTCAACGATACTGCGTTATGACTTATGAGTTTTGGTTCCTTTTTGACTGATTAAAAATGGTTTGGGCATAATAAACTTGTGGCCCGTTACCCGTTACCAGAAGCCCAAGATAAAGTGGTCAATAAACCCGAAATTTGGCGGGTCAGAAGCGTTACGAATCGATCGAGATGGTCTCTCTCTTCCTCGTATGAACGAACATTCAATGTCCTTACCCGACAAAATTTTATAATCAAAATCTGACTAAAAAAGGTAAATTAAAATCCTCGAATTGCTTGCTCCAACGAAATTATATTCCTCTGTACCATCATCATTTGTTATCTTCAGTGTTTGTCGAATTGTTCCTTTCCCTGAAGCTGAGAGAGCCCTAGCAGCAAATCGTCAGATCTTGATCTCAGACCAACCCTACAGGTTTTTCTCGATTCATCTATTGCATTTTGATTGTTCTTAACACATGTTCGTGAGCTTTGTCCTTACACCGATTTGGGTGTTTTGATATGATTTCGTCCTTGCAATTTCATTAGCTTTGATCGAGAGATTAAACCTAATCTTTGCTTTTGAAAAAAATAGCCAATAATTTACATTATATTGATAGTGTTGCTAAATGTGGTTATCGTTGTATCTGCAGGTGTTGTTAGTGTGTGGTTCACCCAAAGTGGAAGAATTAAGGATCTAATTATTTTTGGGGATTCATGAAGAAATGAGAATGCTAAGAGTTAACTACTACTAAGTTCAGGATAACATTGTCCCGACAAAAAAAAAAAAAAACACTTTCAAAGATTTAGAAAATGATGTGATTTCACCACGTTTTGGTTCACATATGTTACGCCGTCTTGGGTGGTTATTTGGATTGAGCAAAAGAAGAAGACAGGCAAAGACTCTTGATGCTAAACCTTACGTAGCCAGGGTTAAGCCAGTACTGATGGTTGACACGGTCCAAGAAATTGCGATTTATATCCACAGGTTTCATAACCTTGATCTATTTCAGCAAGGGTATGGAGCTTTGTTATATTTTCTACAGTTTCTTATTTCAACGATTTCTTTGGTTCTTTCTAAAAATATTTTTATATCTCAGATGGTATCAAATAAAAATCACCATGAGATGGGAGGATGGCGATAGCATAACTCGTGGAATTCCTTCTCGAGTCGTTCAGTATGAAGGTGCCATATTGCTTTCTTATGAATAATTTTGTTCCTTGTGTAATTTCTTTGTTGTTGTGTCCGTGTGATTGACCAAGCATGTGTGAGATCAGTATTCTTTAGTTCTAGTTTCCTTCTTCTATATTATTTTCTGAAAAACAGATATAGTTACTATTCTAATTATTTGTGGTGAAAGAGAGTTTATTTTTTAGAGTATAATTAGACAGAGAGAATTCATGTTTGTTACAGCTCCCGAATCCGGCCCTAGTGCCTCATATGGAGTGTGGAGGATATATGATAAAGATAATAGTTTCTTAACACAGCCCTTCCGCGTCAAATATGCAAGGCAAGATATTCGTCTGTGTATGATGATCTCGTTTACTTTGCCACTGCCAAGATATGAGGTAGGAATATCTACTTATTACCCATTCTGATAAATTCAAAACTTATGTTTTGTTTCTTGATGTAAAGAGAGATAGTTGAATGAAATGATCCCCGAAATGAACTGGATAATAACATCCAGTGTGAATTGAAAAACATTTATTAGATTACGAGGACATTGCATTTATGAGGTTGTGAAATGATTATGGGTATGCAGGGGTCAGCTACATCTGCTGCTGTATTGAAATTTGAGCTCATGTATGCTCCCTCTATGGATAATTCATCACTGAAGCATTTAGATGCTTTGCCTACTGCAGTTCATGAGTTTCGTATTCCACCTAAAGCTCTTACAGGCTTGCATTCATACTGTCCTGTGCATTTTGATACACTTCATGCGGTTCTTGTCGATGTGAGTGTCCACATTAGTGTACTGAAATCTGCTGCTTACAGGCGACCTGCAAATCTATCAAGGTTTGACACAAAAAGTTTGGTTTCGACATAATTTAC